GGCACTTGGTTAGTGCAAGGTCTACGGGGACAGACGTATCCTGAACGCTTGCTCAGTTTGGGGATGTACTCAATGCACTACCGAAGGATAAGAGGTGACCTGATTCTCACCTATCGTATTTTGACGGGTAAGATTGGTCCGGACTTGTCAGGGCTATTTAGCCCAACTACGTTACCTACTCTCCGCGGTCACCCACTGAAACTGCATAAACCACGGTTTGATAGGATTAGGACGGAAGCTCATCTGTCGCGCCGTTATAGATCGCTGGAATTCGCTTCCAGATCACTTGGTTAGGGAACCTACGGCTAAGGGTTTTGCGCGCCAGCTCGATGCTCTTGGGCGGCAGCAGCTGACTTACCTTCACTTTTCAGTTCTTTTTTAATGACTCATACATTGGTATTCTACTTGCTTAGCTCTTTTCACTTTCTCTTTTGCCTTCTGAGTTTATTTTTTCTCTTTCTTTCTTCACGTCACCGGCCCAGCAGGGACTGCTAGGGCAGGGTACGTGGGCATTAATTGGTTGGACAGGGTGTGATGTGGTCTTTGTTGTAGGTCCATCAGTATTTCAAAGTCCGCCAACTCCTGGTTCAACAACCCGCTGAAGAAGGAACACTCACGGGATAATCCTATCGTTCCAGTCCCGCTTGAACTTGAACTGGTGCCAGCTGGGTGGTTCGGGTTTTTCCCGTTCCAGCAAATGGGTCGGCGGCAGTGTTCCAGGACGTGGTGGGTTTTAGCCTGGCAAGCGTTCTCCCTATAAGAAGCTATAAATGTCTGTTTAACAACGCTACGACGTGGCGAATGTGACTCGTCACTAAATAACCTTACCGTCCCTTGCCCCTCCCTGAGAGGCATTGTACTTCAAGGGTGCGTTGGGCCGCTGGTCCTTCACGGACCGAAAGGCGTATGAACCATCTATTTGGTCACCGACTCCCAACTGGTTGTGTCGCCCTCACATCACCCTGCTGCCTTATTGGTTAGATCTTTGATCAAATGTTCGGGGTATGGCCCTCTAAGACAACCCTCTACTTCGGCTTGGGCAACCGGGTAGTATCACGCCCACTGACGAATAATGAACCACACTGCTTACTACTGCTTCTGCTATGCCTATCTTCTATGCTATTTCAACTGCTCAATCTCCACTCACAGACCACCTCCCTTCCTTCACCTATATGTTCTCTTATGTCTTCTTCGTTCACCATCGCAAACAACCCACGTCTCGCAACCGATGGAAGCAACAGCCAAACTCCCGGTTCTCAATATCCTGAGATCACAACCGCCTCTCACTTCACCGAAGCTCCAGCTCTTCTTCGACCTGGTTCTCCATTCATCCTCGCAACGTTTAATGTTCGAACTTTGATGCAGATCGGACGATAAACATGTCTGGCCCGTACTCTTGAAACGCTTTTGGTAGGCATCTGTTGCCTTCCAGAGACCAGATTACAAGACTAGCGCCGTCATCAGAATGGCCTCTCCGGTAAACCCTGACGCCAAATATCATTTGCGGCTTTCCGGAGACCCAGAAGCCACCGCCACTGGCCAAGCTGGTGTCGGGATTGCACTGAGTGCCAGGGCTGAATCAGCTCTGCTTGACTGGATCCCAGTCGACTATGTGCAATCAGACTACGAAGTTCATGTAACGTAAGCAGGCGTCATGACGTTAAGCGTGTCTTGTTTGTCGTCTCCGCCTACGTCCCTACAGACTGCAGCCCGGATGCAGTTAAAGATAGCTTTTACCAGCAGTTGCATGAACTTCTGCGTTCCTCCGAAAGGACTGTTATAATCATTCTTGCCGGCGACTTTAACACACGGGTTGGCCGCCTTCCATCAAGCGAGTACAACCTTGAGGGTAGTTTTGGTCTCGGTGGCAGACGATCAGACAATGGAGACAGACTGCTTGCTCTTTGCTCTGATCATCGCTTGTATCTTTCGAGCACTAGTTTTCGGCACTCGAGGGGACACACTTCTACCTAGCGCTCGCCCTCACAAACGCAAGAGTGCTCCCAGCTTGACCACATGGCAACCAACTACAGATGGCGAGGAAACAACGGACTGCCGATCGTACTGGTCCACTTATCTAGATTCCGATCATGCATTGGTTCGTGCTAAGATTTGCATGCGTTTCGGAGGATCACCTAAGCGCGCTCACTACCGACGGACGTCGCAAATCTACGAAGCCCTTCGATTTTAACCAGGTACCAAGCCTCACTGTCAACCTTGCTTGGCTCAACTATTGACGGTGATCTCGATTCGCATTGGGCGCAAATTAAAGATGCTTTAGTTTCCGCCAGTATCGACACTTGTGGAGTTGCCCGTCACCCACCGAAGCATTGGATGTCCGCCGTCTCCTTGTCGCTTATGGACAATCGCCGCTTGATCCCGTGGGATTCCAGACACTGTGAAGAACGCCAATCCCTTGGTCGAGAGTTGCGCAGGAGTCTGCAAATGAACCGCGAAGTTTGCTGTTGTGAACGTGCTAGGGAGATGGATCTTGCTAGTCTCTCTGGTAATACCAGAAAACTTTTCCATCTCATTCGAGTCACCGAAGGTGTTCCATATGTGTGTTCGATAAGTGAAAATATGCGAAGTGGATGGCACCTTAATCACCAATCTTCAACGACGGTTGGAGCGATGGGCCGAGCATTTTGGCTCGCAGTTTTGTTGGCCCACAGCTCCATCTGCTACCTCTGGCGCTCGCGCTGCGGCCGAGTGGTTTACCCCCACAGATCCTCCCTCTGCCTGCACTCACACTTGGTAGTGAGACACTAGAGGTCGTGGAGAGCTTTGTCTACTTGGGAAGTTGCACTACTGCTGTTGGAGACGAGATTTCGATGCGCATCTCGAGAGCACGCTTCGCTTTTTCTAGGCTGAGGCACTTGTGGCTTCGCCACGACGTTCGTCTCTCCATCAAAGGGCGGGTCTATTGTGCAACTGTTCGTGCTGTACTGTTGTACGGATGCGAGACCTGGCCCATTCGTAAAGATGACTTGCGCAGGCTATCCGTCATCGGTCCATTGCCCGTGTGTGGTGGCGGCAGCATGTAAGCAATGTGGAAGTTAGACAGCGTGTCTTGGGACGTGGAAGCTGTAGCGATTGTAAATAATTTGCTTATTTTTCATTTTGACGTTTACCTATTTCGCTGCAGTTGTTGTACAGCTTTGTTTTAATTAACTATATATACATACACTTGGTTTCGAGCTCGTCTTCCGTGGTGCTACTGTAGCCGGTCCGCGTGTGTCACGTTAACAGGTAAGAGGTCGGTTGGTTTTGCTTCCTGTTATCATTACTCTCATATTCCTCTCCGGCACTCTTCCTTCCCTCTTTCGTGCTTCCTTAGCTGCTTCCTTTACATCGGCCTCTTACTAGGCGGCTCGAGCGTACAGCCGTCTACGAGGTATTTATTTTGCATTGCAGCTTGTCACACTACTTGGACAAGGAAGAGTCCAGAACGCCGGACCGAAGGAATATTACATATTTGGCGACCCTGCCAGTTCACGACAGCAGTCCACCCTAGCTAGATTGTAGCCCTGGAGGCAACAATTAACTTTCTACTATCGTGCTGCTTGTCGTTGAATCTCCCGAGCCTAATATACCGCGCTCAATGCCTCTTGAAGGTACATAAGTTGATGCCGGTATGGGCCATTATGGGCGCTGAGGACAGCGCCTGCTAAGAGGGGGGATAATGTAGCCGGTCCGCGTGTGTCACGGTAACACGTTAACAGGTAAGAGGTCGGTTGGTTTTGCTTCCTGTTATCATTACTCTCATATTCCTCTCCGGCACTCTTCCTTCCCTCTTTCATGCTTCCTTAGCTGCTTCCTTTACATCGGCCTCTTACTAGGCGGCTCGAGCGTACAGCCGTCGACGAGGTATTTATTTTGCATTGCAGCTTGTCACACTACTTGGACAAGGAAGAGTCCAGAACGCCGGACCGAAGGAATATTACACTACTTTGGTTGCCGCTGGGTTGTTTTGATTGTGCGCATCGCTGCCTGCTACATTCACGATCGGACTCTACGTACACGTACACTTCGTCGTACCTCGCGATTTACGATCGTCCGATGTTTAGGCGCATCAGGATATTTTATATGTGAGGTAAACCTGACTGACTGAGTATTCTCCTTTGCCGGTTCCTCCATAAAGCCACTCGCTCGACGAGCTCGTCTCACTGCATCAACTGCGGTGGTTGGGACACGTATTGCGCATGCCTGTCCAGCGTTACCCGCGTCGTGCGTTGTTTGGGGTTGCTGGACAGGTCTGCAAGAGACGGTCTGGTGGACAGCCTACAACATAGAGGAGCCGCATGAAAAAGCTAACGAAATAGTTGGCCTCGACTGGTTGTTGTCGACTACCTGCTTGGGATCCGAGAGATGCGAATACTTGCTGGTTGAAGACCTTGGAAGCCATGGCTCAAGATCGATATCAATGGCGGACATGTGCATCGGTGTGTTGCGGTGTCCCTTCTTCCTCCCCCCAAAAAATCAAATTGAAAAAGGATTTCAAAGACTGATTGGCAAACTAGACAAAACAGCTTCTGTTGTTGTTGCTCTTTTCTTGTTATTCATACTGTTTTCCTATTCAGCCATGATTCCGATGGCACAGAATCTGTACCACAGATTGTGTAAAATAATAATAATAATTAGCAGTGGCGATGAAAATTTGTCTGCTTTTAGGCAGATCGTTTCAACAGAGCAACACAACTCAAAGCAGTGTTTTATGTAGTCTGTAAGGTGGTCACATTGAAGTGACAGGTCCTGGTTGAAGAGCGCAAAATCAGTCAAGGAAACATCGTTTAGAGCCTTGTGATATTTTCCAAGGAGCATTTTGAAATGCTGTGGATGTTGCCGTGCTTGTCCAATGAGTGGCTGAAATGAGCTGCATCAGGACTAATTTAGGATGTCTTTCTAACGCCTGTGGTCCATGAAGTTTATACCACTTACGTTTTCCACTTCCTCAGTTCATTCTCTTCATCTGAACTTGGTTCTTCATCCTTTTTCAGACACTGACGAGTGCATCCCATGTTCTCTTGTCACTACGACGGTTGCGATTCGGAAAGCGATTCCCCAAGGTACTATTAGTTACACGCCATTTCTCATTCTGATTAGTGATAGCCAAGACGACGAACTGTCTGCTATTTGCAATAAACAGAAGGCCAAAGCCTTTGAGGATGCCATGTGCGCTGAACTAGATGATTTTGTCCGGGGCTTAAACAACCTAGAAAGTGAAGCTACAGAGCCTAGGCGGGTCCGCTTCGCACCGATTTCTGGCGAGACGGAAGGTCGCTCTATTCGTCTTTAATCTTCCGTTCAGGTGGGACAGAAGAGGTCACCGAGCCGACCGAGGATCTCCTCTACGACGAATTGGAGGATGACGCGAGTGAAAAGTGGGTCAAGGAAAATCTGCTTGGTGGACGGAGCCGCCATTCAGATGCAGTACTGAATTGCCCCTGTTGCATGACGGTTCTGGCTGTGAATTGTCGAAGGTGAGCAACAAGTACACATTGCAACATATGCTTCATTGGTTCTATCCGTACTTAGGTGTGTGTGCTTACTATTTAATCCAGGGTTACTGTGTGCTTTTGGAAACATTGTGTAAGTTGTTTTATACTCGGCACTTTGGAATCTGAGCTCTCTATCCATTACGATATAATATGGACGCTGTCTCCTTTGCGCTGAAAATAACTGGAAAGAACTTTATATATATATATATATATATATATATATATATATATATATATATATATATATATATATATATATATATATATATATATGGTTGGCGTCATCCGGTTTCGGATTTGCCTGTCACTGTAGCCAGCCACAGGACGCCTGCGCCTACAGAAGGACCATGGGTGGCTTGCGCTGCACCACCCACAGCTCCAACTACACCCCATATCCATTGTAAACCCGAAGGAATAAGACCGGGAGGCATGTGGATGGGAGCCACGTTTTACCAACGGAGCCGGCCCACATTCCTTCACAGGCAAACACAAGCATGCTGTATTTGGGAATCAAGCGCACACAAGGCGGTGGCTGGACCGTAGTCCGCTACACACTCACTGCATGGAACCACTCTTTGATCCTAACACGGCCACAAGGACCGTGCACCCTGTCCCCTCCTACAACGACCAACTGTCTCCTGGAGCCAGTATGGACGATGTAATGGGTAATAGACAGGTAGGCACCTTGTCAACATGCACATCAAGCGCAGCCACACCGGGGATATCAAGCAACAACAGAAAGCTAACAAAGAAAAGAAATCGAGTAATGCATAAGAAAACGTGACAAAGTCTTAAATTAATGAGCATATGAAGTAAAATGTTAACAAAGGATCCGAGATAAGTTCAGGGGTCAGAAAGTATATTTTACGGAAATGACAAAAACGCGAAAATGTTATCGAAATTAACTACAATTGGCTTAAGCGAGCTGTGCAGGTTTATAGAAGAGCGTACAGGTGGACATTTATTTGAGAAAGAAAAGCATTAGGACACCATTGAAAACCCACCACCTGAAATAAAGAGACTTAGCATGCAGGCACGCGGTTGGTAAATCGCATGCAGCGTACCTACAAACGCTGCGCTGGTTCTGCCTACGTTCTCTGCAGGACCCGTCGTCGCTTCGGTAGTGGTCCCGATTGGCCTCGCTCATGGCTCACTAAGCCTGCCTGACTCAGGCACTCGCGACCGCATGTGCTACAGCACCATGCGTTTGATGTCGATGGAGAACAACCCATCGATGCTTGCCGCTTCCGCACTTGCCGCTTCTTCTCTGCATGCAAGAGGTCTTTCTCCCGCACTTCAGCAACTGCCTTCGTGATGAGATCGCGCCATGCATGCCGATCAACCGCCTTCGATTCCCATGATCTGCAATCAAGATTAGAACGTGTGAGACTCACTTTAATCATGTCCTGGTAACGTAACTTTGGTTTCCCCACTTACGGCTTCCCTATCCTCAGCTGACCATATAATAGTTGCTTCGGTATCCGCGTTGAATCCATACGGCTCACATGACCGATCCACCTTAGGTGTCTCAGCAAAAGTATGCAGTCCACTGCATACATTCCACTTCGGCGCAACACTTCCGTGTCTGCAACTCTGTCGCCCCAACCGATGCGCAAAATCCGTCGCAAACACTGCTGATGGAAGCGCTCGAGATATCGCACATCCCGACGGTACATCGTCCACGTTTCACTGCCGTATAGAAGAACGGACAGTACCATGGATTTGTACACCATCAGCTTTGTGCCAATGCAAAGCTGATGGTTGTTCCACACTCGGTACTCAAGCTTCCCGAATGCCGCTGCTGCCTTCGACACGCGACTACGCAACTCAACGTGTAGCTGCTGATCAGTCGACATCACACTCCCAAGGTAGCTGAAACGGGAGGTGGTTTCCAATACTTCAGCACCAATGCTGATTCGCGACAATATTGAAGATTGCACCTCCGGTGAAGGCTGAAATAGACAGACAGTTTTGCTTGTGTTAATGGTGAGCCCGAATTTGGCCGCCGTCGAAGCCAGAGCACTAGTCATACGCTGCAACTCATCCGCGCTGTGTGAAAACAACGCACAGTCGTCAGCAAACAGCAACATACGGATAGTTGTCTCACAGGCTAGAGTCCTCGCACCGAAACGACGGATGTTCAGCAACCCACCATCAATACGGTGCTCCACACGAACACCGTAAGCACAAGCCGCATCAAAAACACAGGACAACATTGCATGAAGATATACATTAAACAGGACAGGAGCTAAGACACAGCCTTGCTTCACACCAGTGACAACTGCAAAGTCATCCGAGGTCTCTCCACTCAGCTGCATCCTCGCTCGCATACCACTGTGCGGACATTCAATTTAACTTACAAACTTACGCGGGCAACCAAACTTACCCAACACCAGCCACAGTGCCTCGCGGTTCACCGTATCAAATGCCTTGGTAAAATCAACAAAAAGCGAGTACAATGGCTGGTGTCGTTCTCTGCACTTCTCTTGCAACTGACGAGCCGCAAACACCATATCTATAGTGCTGCGACCCGAACGGAATCCACACTGCTCCTCCGCCACGTTGGGTTCCACAACCTGACTGACGAGGCGGTTGAGCAGGATTCGGGCATGGTGGACGGAGAAGGCGAAGCAGATGGAATGCTACGCCGAACCCCGTCAACACAAGGAATTCTTTGACTCCTTGAAGGCGGTGTATGGACCGAGATTGGAGCCGCTGAGGACGCTGATCGATGGTAGTTAAGGCGCTACCTGCACCCAGACTGCAGACATAATGCAGGTCTGGCGGAAACACTTTGACTGTCTCTTGAACAACCGTTCAGAGATCGTCTGGCCCACATTGAACGGCCTGAAGCAGCACGATGTGAAGGCGGATCTGGCGGACACGCCGACACTGGATGAGACGCAGAGAGCACTTGCTCAGCTGCGAAACGGCAAATGTGCCGGAGGTGACGGGATCCCGCCTAAAGTATTGAAACACGGAGGACCCGCGTTGTTGACTGCGCTGCACCACTTGGTGCAACGTGTATGGATTGAGGAGGAGGTGCCTCCTGAGCTGAAGGATGCCCTTGTGCTCCCACTGTGCAAGGGCAAAGGTAGCAAGCAATGTTGCACGAATTATCGTGGCATGAACTTGCTGAGTTGTGTGGGCAGGGTGATTGCCCGAATCCTGCTCAACCGCCTCGTCAGTCAGGTTGTGGAACCTAACGTGGCGGAGGAGCAGTGTGGATTCCGTTCGGGTCGCAGCAGTAAAGATATGGTGTTTGCGGCTCGTCAGTTGCAAGAGAAGTGCAGAGAACGACACCAGCCATTGTACTCGCTTTTTGTTGATTTCACCAAGGCATTTGATACGGTGAACCGCGAGGCATTGTGGCTGGTGTTGGGTAAGTTTGGTTGCCCGCGTAAGTTTGTAAGTTAAATTGAATGTCTGCACAGTGGTATGCGAGCGAGGGTGCAGCTAAGTGGAGAGACCTCGGATGACTTTGCAGTTGTCACTGGTGTGAAGCAAGGCTGTGTCTTAGCTCCTGTCCTGTTTAATATATATCTTCATGCAATGTTGTCCTGTGTTTTTGATGCGGCTTGTGCTTACGGTGTTCGTGTTGAGCACCGTATTGATGGTGGGTTGCTGAACATCCGTCGTTTCGGTGCGAGGACTCTAGCCTGTGAGACAACTATCCGTATGTTGCTGTTTGCTGACGACTGTGCGTTGTTTTCACACAGCGCGGATGAGTTGCAGCGTATGACTAGTGCTCTGGCTTCGACGGCGGCCAAATTCGGGCTCACCATCAACACAAGCAAAACTGTCTGTCTATTTCAGCCTTCACCGGAGGTGCAATCTTCAATATTGTCGCGAATCAGCATTGGTGCTGAAGTATTGGAAACCACCTCCCGTTTCAGCTACCTTGGGAGTGTGATGTCGACTGATCAGCAGCTACACGTTGAGTTGCGTAGTCGCGTGTCGAAGGCAGCAGCGGCATTCGGGAAGCTTGAGTACCGAGTGTGGAACAACCATCAGCTTTGCATTGGCACAAAGCTGATGGTGTACAAATCCATGGTACTGTCCGTTCTTCTATACGGCAGTGAAATGTGGACGATGTACCGTCGGGATGTGCGATATCTCGAGCGGTTCCATCAGCAATGTCTGCGACGGATTTTGCGGATCGGTTGGGGCGACAGAGTTGCAGACACGGAAGTGTTGCGCCGAAGTGGGATGTATGCAGTGGACGGAATATTTTTACTGCGACACATGAGATGGATCGGTCATGTAAGCCGTATGGATTCAACGCGGATACCGAAGCAACTATTATATGGTCAGCTGAGGATAGGGAAGCCGTAAGTGGGGAAACCAAAGTTACGTTACCAGGACATGATTAAAGTGAGTCTCACACGTTCTAATCTTGATTGCAGATCATGGGAATCGAAGGCGGTTGATCGGCATGCATGGCGCGATCTCATCACGAAGGCAGTTGCTGAAGTGCGGGAGAAAGACCTCTTGCATGCAGAGAAGAAGCGGCAAGTGCGGAAGCGGCAAGCATCGATGGGTTGTTCTCCATCGACATCGAGCGCATGGTGCTGTAGCACATGCGGTCGCGAGTGCGTGAGTCAGGCAGGCCTAGTGAGCCATGAGCGAGGTCACTCGGGACCACTGCCGAAGCGACGACGGGTCCTGCAGAGAACGTAGGCAGAACCAGCGCAGCGTTTGTAGGTACGCTGCATGCGATTTACCAACCGCGTGCCTGCATGCTAAGTCTCTTTATTTCAGGTGGTGGGTTTTCGGTTCTGTCCCAATGCCTTTCTTTCTCATATAAATGTCTAGTGGGCCATGAGCTAGGTCCTTTGGGGCCACTACGGAAGCGACGACGGGTCCTGCAAAGAATTACGGCTAGCCGGCGCAACGTTTGTAGGCACGCTGAATTCGATTTACTAACCGCGTGCTTGCATGCTAAGTCTCTTTATTTCAGGTGGTGGGTTTATAGTTTTTAC